AACTGCGTACAACTCATAACATTCAATAAAATAAGTTATACTACAATTTGAACACACATTTTAGTTTATTGCCACGAATTAGTCTTCCAGTCAGGAAGGATTCCTGTAGGAAAGTCATAGTCAAACAAAACATAAGATTAACTTAAGTTATTAGAACCGACAAAATAAAATGGATTCATATTATTTTGCACTTAAGTTTATTGTATCTCTGTTCGAATTTATAAAGGTGAATTCGTGTATGAAGCTTAATACTATTTGCCCGCATAAAATACAGAATGTGAGGCAGAGTTTAAACTCACGAGCGCATTAAAGTATGAATTAAATTTTTGTATTCCGTAAACTGTAATCCGCTTTATTATTTATAGTCTGTCATATTTTTTATTACCCAGATACTAAGTAAAGCATTATATATATTTTTAATATTTGATATAAGATTGGTGGTCACTTTTATTTTCACTATACGACAGATTTCGTGTGGAATCATAAGCTATGCAGGTAAACAGAAAAATCTGTTTTTGATGCATTAGGTACTTTCTGTAGTGAAATCTAAAAATGTCTGAAAGATTCTTAGAATGGAATTATTATCAGTAAATGTAAAATGATTATTTCAGAAAATGTTAGAATATGAATTTTCGGAAAATTAATTTGTTTCAATGACTAATTCGATAATTAGTTAAAATATTAATTTACATTAACTTGAGTTAGTCGAACACATCATAGTACTATTGAGTAAATAAGCTAAAACACAATGAATTCATTTTGATTGTTGGTGACTAGCAGTGGAATCCAGAATACTCATTCCGTCCTATTTAGGACTCGTCATCTGGGTGTACTTGCATTCTCAGTGAGTGGTGATATTTCCGCTAAAATTGGAACCCTTCACCCATCATTTCAAACTCCAAAGCATTATCCACTAGAGCCATGAGAGCTACGAGAGCCACCTCATATCCAGCTCGAGAGCTTCAGATAGGATAAAATGCATATCTTGGATTCCAATGCTAGTCACTGACAACCAAAATAACTTCTCCTTAATCCGTGGATATTGCTGAAGCATCCGTATTAGGAGCTGATATGTCAGGAGAGACGAAGCACTTTGGTTCAGCACAGTCAACCAGTGGTAAATGCAAATTAACCTAAAAAACATAATTTTTCCCACTGTTCACTGATCGTGTAATATATATTTTTGTTTACTCGTTCAACTACCAGCTATGCATAATGTCAATATTGTAATTAAGTGCTTCACTTTCAAAAACTGGATATATATACATGCATATTTGTGTATGTATACACTATCAAATTCATTTTTATATACATTTACATTTATGTTAAGTAGACATCATAGTTGTGTGGAAATTTAACTACAACTTATTGTTCAGTCATTGTATTGGTTATCTGTCATACTACTAAATAGTAGTTTATTTTATCTTGCATAAATAATTCCAGTTTGCCCAATTAAGATACGATGCACCTGTATTATTATTATGGGCGAAATTACCTTATATGTGGATTCTCAAAATTGAAATTCTAACTAGAAGGTTCATACAGAAATTGTGTGATACATTTAAAAAAGCCCCCAAAATATAGGATATGTATAATGCCATGAGATGTTTCAGCTCTGTCTTACCACCAAATGCAGCATTTCCTAATGTCAGTTCGCACTCACTGGAGAAGTATGGCAAGGCGAATACGGTCTTTGGTCTACAAGTTTATGTGTATCATAAACAGAAGCAAGGAAATTGTGAATTCATTTGAAAGCTATCCTATTCAAGTGGACATTATTCAGATTTTTAGAAGAAAGCTGTTATTCATCTGATGGATAACTGCTTTATTTCTCCATTAAGCATAAGTAGAAGAGACTCTTATTGCAGATGTTTAGTGATATCTTTTAACAACAGAAACACCATCATAAGAGCCCCACTCACGAACTGTCAAGCTTGGATGACAATAAAATTAATATGACTTAGTTGTTTCCATAATGTAAAATGTAGAACCGGCATTCAGTATCAAAGTATACGTAGCTTATTCGCTATCTATTATGGATCATATTAGCTCGAGAAAGCATTATCTGAACATTCAAAACGAATCAAGCATAAAACAGTGATAAATTATGGCGACCGGTCACCAGAGAGTGACAAATATCATGAGTATAGTTCTTCACACTGGAGCTAAATGGATTCCCTCAGTCAGATTTGTAATGTGGTCAGCAAGCTAGCTGACTAGCCATCATAGTGCACTTTGAAATGATGTTAGGCAGTTAAGGACGGTCAGCTGGACGTTATCGACTTAAGTCTCGTGCTCGCTGGCACCCATCAGCCAAACATGTGCAACCTCGTGGGAGCTAATATCCTCTTTGAAATCCAAACCCACATCATTCAAGGCTGTAGTAGGAAACATTAATACCAAGCTATTCGGAATTGTGATTATCCTTCTGTAGTTATCAGATAATATCCAATCCTATGTGTCTCGTACTTACCATTGGTGTTTGTTATTCGAATTCTGTCAATCCAGTGATAAATTACTGAGGGGTTTTGATAAGAGATACATAAATCAATAGGTTGATTTCATCATAATTTACGTCACTAATTTGCATTTATACAATTTTGGAGTACTGCATTCGCGAAAATTTAATAAACATTAACTTCGCTGCAATATTCCTACTAGTTGATTTAATGAAGATGCCACCTCTCGTTGCTACTAGCTTATATAATGGTAAAAATTCAACACATTAAAAATTTCGTTCTGATCTTGTTTGTTAAAATAATACTTTTCTGGAGTTTAGGAAGAATGACTTCAGGGCGGTGTGTATTTACCCTATTATCATGCGAAACTATGTTCGGAAGTAGTTTAACGTCTGTGGTTCACTGATGGGACGCTCGCCAACCACGCACGTGGCCCGGAGTTCGATCCACAGTCGATGCACTCCTAAACCTTGCTAAAGCTGCTAGTGAGGTGGGTAAAGAGGGAAGGCTGGGTATGAGGCTATCAACCCCAGCCTGTAAAACAGAAAAAAACCCACTGCTACTGAAACTTCAAAGCTCTAGCTTGAAGCCCCATGTTCCACTCGGAAAGTAAAGGAATAAAATAATAATAGTAGTTTATTTCTGCTGCATAGTAAACGTCTAATTTACATGCGTCAGACACATTTCTCTAATTATTCATACACAACCGGCAGCTGCGTGCAAATTACTCAAAAGTTCTTCGATAAGTTACTAATGACATGAGTTAAACAAAAACGGTGATGAGATCTAGTTAGTAACACAGGTACTTACTTTTAGTTGTTATTTAGCATTTTATCCTGATAAGTGGTACTTTCAGAGATACTTTATGGATATTCTTCTAAGAGTGTCATGAATACGACGCTCTTTTCATACATTTGCTATAGGCACTTTCGGTAAAATTATTACTATCATTGACAATACTGTGACACATCACCTTCAGCATCAAATTTACTAGTAAACATTTGAAAACTTTGAAATTGCAACATACAACAACATTTAAATATCTCTCTCTGTCTGGTTTTATATATAAAAAAATTTCCTGTTTACATTCATTACAAAGCGTAAATGAGTGAAACGGTGTCAAGTACAGAGTGGAAAAAAAAGAATGACTACCCTAAATGGCTTAATTCTTTATCTGCCTGTCGACTTAAGCATAAATAATAATATGCCACAATTAGTTAATAAATGTATATTTTTCTTTAAAATGTCAACATATTTTCAAATAAATGTAAAATTTGTGAATATCCAGCCATCGAAAGATATACCCTTGGACGTAAACTTTTACTCACAAGAAGGAAACGATTCGACAGAAAAAGAAATTTACTTAAATTCATGTTTTACATTCCTTTTTTTTCTAGAAAAAACTTCTGAATAATTCAAATGTGAATAAGCTTAAATTGTTGTATATAATATGTGGTATGCAAAAACAGTCAATGACCTTTTTACCATATCAAAAAAGTGTATTTTAATGTGTTATAATATGAATGGTATGCGGAATGTCTGAAAATAACCAGTTGATGCAAAAATCACTCCGGTCTGTGAGATATGTATATAAACGTACAGAACAGTGGTTGAATTTTTCCCCGTAATCATTTGTTGCTCTATTTGTACAGCTTACTGAGAACAAATTATGTCATCTCAATTGGTGTATATTTGTCACTGTGCAACATGTGGAAATTTATGCGCATACAAGATGATGCTGACAATTTTTGTGTGGAAGCAGTAAATTAATTTTAATGAATAACAATGTCGGCATAAATTTCTAGTTCAGGTTATTGTATATTATATGAAATTAACTGAATTGGCAAGTGAAAACACTTGGAGATTTAAACATCACACACAGGTTTTCCAAACTATCTTCACAATTATGTGAACTAATTATCCGATCCTTACTTACCTATTTGCGATTTCTTTGAGTAAAGGTTTTCGTTGAACCATTTGTCCTAGCTGGCGTTTACTTGAATGCAGTTTTATATTGGTTACAGGATTTCATCATGAGCTGACATTTGTTAGAGAACCATTGGAAAACCTGGGAGTACTGGACAGCTGTTTTGTCCCAGTTTGGGACTCTTCAGAAGTACGCACCCACATTGCGGGGTTCGAACCCAGGACCATTAAGCCACTGGGACCCGATCCAATGGCCCATGAATTCTAACTTCTGCCAATTCACAACATAGCGCAATCGCTAGCCAATTTCTTCGGCGAGTATTTGTCCTCACACCCGACCTGCTGCACCCTACTGGTCACGATTTCCCACTGGAACCCCGGGTAACTACCTACCTGAATAGGGCCAGTCGCCAATGAGCATCTCATTGATATTCATTTATATTCTTTGTAACACTTTTCGTACGCGTGTTACTTTTATTTCAGTTTTGATTGTTATACTACTTATATATTTCTATTATACTTTTCTTTAAGTGGTCTGTACAAAGATTACAAATACTGAATTTACTATGTGTGAAGTATCGAGTTAGACAAGTGAATATCTAGAGTAAAATAATTAAAATGGGATGCCTTATAAAAGTAAGAAATTAAAGTTATTTTTGAAATAACTGGAATCAATGTTAGTGCCAGTGCTGTGTGAATAGTTTATTTTCATTCCTTTTGCGTTTCAAAGGAAACATAAGGCTTCAAGCTTCAGCTGTGAAGTTTCACTAGCAGTAGTGTTTTCTTACGGAGCAGGGTTGCTAGCCACACGTCGAAACTTCTCCCTTTACCGAGCTTACTACCGGCTAAGTGAGGTTTAGGTGTGCATCGGATGGGAATCGAACCTGGACCACGTACGTGGTTGGTGAGCGTCCTACCATAGAATCATCGACGTGTGAATAATCTTATGTCTTATTTATTTTACAGTTTACTTAACACTAATGAATGGAGTACACCACTACGTTTCATTTGAAATTTGTCTATACCAGAACTTTGAACTATTAACCATGCCACAGTAGTGAGTAACCATTAAGGTCATGCAAAACCCTTAAAATATCACAACAAAGTTATTTACTTCACACTGTTCAATCACGAAAAATGTAAGTCATTTTATCAGAAAACAGTCTAGCAGACAAATCGATGAAGTGGTACCTTGAAGAACTATATGAAGTGATTCCTTTTAATTGAAACTTAGTGTGCCTTGTTAAAATAAATGATAGTGATGAAAAGTATTTTCAGCTCTATTTATGTAGGTTTTGATAGTTTTATTACCTTCCGAGGGTCGAGCTTTTTTTATCTACAGTGCTATCAAAATCCGTTTTTAAGAGGATATAAGCTATATATATTGTGCTAATAATGATAATCTCTTTCAGTTACATTATAGCATAATTACACAAAAAATCTAACCAAACTGAAACCTTTAAGCAGATTAGAAGTGATATGACGGAACAAAAATGAAGAAACATTTTTATAATTTAGGTACACAGTATGTGATAAGGGATCTGAAAAATAATCTCACCGTGAATTTTAACCTTAACTTACTTTGAGTAGAGTATTATAGCCAAAAAGGTATATGACTCTTATTTCCTAAAATTGGTTAAATGTCTTGAAGAGATCATGTATCAGCTGATGACTAACTAGTGCTTCTATGCTGGATTTGAATAAGGAAGAGAAATTGCATGGAACTTTGATATGTTTATGGTGGTAACATTTATGATGTGAAGTAATAAACTATATATGTATAAGTATTCAGTCATATGTATGTACGTACCCCTGTGTTGTCCTATGGTTCATTCGCTAGTCTAGGATGAGTACATACAATGAAGTTTGTTCATAATCTCAACAATCACATTTTTAATTTTCGTTATTTCATCATACATGTGGGGAAGCTACATATCTAATTTGGGTAAAAAAAGATTATTTCTACATAGAATTCTGGTTGTCCTTCTACTTTGTTTCCCGGTCGACGCACTCCGGTCCGTGGTTCGATCCCCTGCAGACGCACACCTGATATTTATGGTCGGCCTGCAAAATTTGGGCTACCGATATCACATGCTGAAAATTTCATACCTGTACCGAAAAAAATACGGTGTGGAATCAAGCTATAATCAAAAATATAAAAAAAGTGCATCAAAGACCGTCATCCAAAAACTGTGCAAACTATATTTTGTGAACAATTGAAAAAATTGTAATAAAGCGCAGAAATCATTAACGATTTTGTCTCAGTCTTCACACTGGGTACAGTCCACAAGGGAATAAGTAAAACAAATACTAAATATTTACATGATAAAATAATTTTGCAACTTACAGCATTTTTCGAGTTTAACCACGGATTGATATCAGTTAGAGAACTATTGAAAAACATCAGAGATTACTGGATAGCTGTTTCATCCTAGTTTGGGATTCATCCACTGGAATTTGAACCAAGGTGCGTACTGATGATGAATTCTGAACTAGGATGAAACAGCTGTCTAGTATTCCCTGGCTTTCATTGCTTCTCTAACTGATATCAATCCGTGGTCAAACTCAAAAAACAAATCAAGTCCTTACAAATCAACTCTTGAAAACTTACAGTATCTTTGTGACTATGATAAATTGTGTAAGCTACGGACCTATTCTGTCAAGTAATGATGATAATTTTATTTTGCTGTTAAACACGTTTGGTCGATAAGTTCAGAAACCAAAATATTCTAAGGGTTGATAAGTGAACATTAGAAACTGACAAATAAAGCCCTGCATTCGCCTTAGAGGAAAGTTTGGTGCAAAAACTTATTCAGTTCAGTTTTTTCAATTATCAGGTGAATATATTATATCATTCAACTGAAAAATTTAGGATTTAATAGTCACTAAAGATAATACTATTTAACTCGAAAAATATGTAAGATAAGCGAAATTATGCAGTGATTACATTCAGTTTATACCATGAAATAAAAACACAAAAGGTAACTCGACATTCCTGAGCTTTGTTATTTGATCGTAAGCTTTCCATGCAACTTTATTCTAAAATACTCAGGATGAAATATGAAATCCCAAAGAGTACAAAATAATGTTTAATATCATCTTGAGCTGAAAATTTTAGCTACTGCTTAAAAGCATTAAAACATATTTGATTATTCAGGTAGTATTTGTCTTATACCTAATGATTTAACGAATAGAGTAATCTACAGAAACGAACTGGTTCTGGGGCACTTTCTAACCTGAACTCTTTAGACACTTATACCAAAAGGACTATGATCAGCTATGCAGTCGATTATAGGAAGCATGGAAAGCACGGGAAGAATGATATTAAACAAAAGGACTAGTAAATAGGCAAAGATGGGGAAATAAAAGTGGCCTAGGAGTCGGTCCTCATTTTCTAGAAATAACTACTCCTTGGTAAGCTTTATTAATTCAGATGACCAACTGCCATTTCTACATGGTTCAGTTTTCAGTCATGAGCATGTATATCACTCACAATATTTATGAAGAAAAATTTAATAATTTCAGTTTCTGAGTGTTCTTGAAAAACTTTAAGACATCACATGAACTTACGCATGAGGTAGCTAACTTTTTAAATTAGTATTATAGTTACGGGTCTACTGGAACAGTAGAACAACCGTACGAAAATAAACTAATACCATCTTTCCAGTCAAAAGATTAAAAGACAAAATGGTAATCATCAAAACACACATGTGATTCCTAAGTAGTCAATAAAAATTGAATGCTACCATATATCAGCTTAATTTGAAGTAAACAAACAGATCAAGATAAGTAGATGAGAGTAAAGCCTAGCACGAAAATGTAATATCAAAAAGAAAATGTGGAGTTGAATTGAATGATGTGAAAAGTGAATTAAAAGCAGTATCACAAGAGACAAAAGTGATGAGTGAAGGTTTTTTAGTGATTCATATAATTTCAAATATGATAAAAAGCAATTATATCTATATAATTGTGAGGAATTTTCAGTCGCTCCACAAAAAAGTAATAAACTCAAGTGCGGAGCTTTGTGCTAACTGTCTTCAACCATCCACTGCCGTTTCCACGGAGGAAGTTTTGTACACTAAGCATAATGATTAGAGAGCTCTCTAATAGTAAGAATAAAAGCATTACTAAAGCTAAGTAAACTTCCTTTGAAGTCACAATGAAGGTAGTGAATACAATTCCAATAAAAGTATGATTGGGATCATATTTGACTTAACGTACTTCTACATCTGAATGCAGGATTACATTTGTTTCTGTCCAGGTGTTAGCGAACCTTTGAAGTCAGTTTAAGAGTAAAGCTGGAAAACACTGGATGCCTAAATAAACAACTTTTGTTTCACCGAAGTTTACATTAAATTTACATTAGATTTTGAGAAGTATGTGCTCACAGGCGTCATTATTATATCAAGCATACCCAGACTCATACATTATCAAGTTAAAATTCGAATTCTATTCATTTTATTTGTTGAATGATATGGCTACTTGAACTAGTACTTGTTGAAATACGCAAACTTTAGTTTTTGAATTATCAAAGAGATTGTATCCCTACTAGTTTGGAAGCATATGAGGATAGTAAACTACAATTCTGTCTTCTCGAGGGAACAAACACGCGGAACCGTGTAGAGGCATCTTTTTTACTAACGTAACATTTTCTCTCTGTTACTGCAATTTTATATATAAACATTAGACTTAAACAGAATGCTTAAAATGGTCATTTTTACAAGGTATTACTTTGGTTCAATGAATAAGTTATATCATAGAAAGTTCATCGACGGTATTTGTTGATATTTTTACAGCACCTTACCTTAATATATCTATTCCCCTAAACTTTAATTACACTGATAAACTTTAATTTTAAGCTCTAACCATCTTGAAAAACTACTGAAATATATTCTATTACAGGTCACCTTGTTAATTTTGTCTAGCCATATAAGTTTCATACTAAATTAAGTGATAAAAGTGATATTATTTTAGTCATTTGTTCAAAAATGGCTACTCGACAGTCTTATTCACCATACCTGAATACAGTTAAGTAGTTTAAATTGATTATTTGATGACAGTTACTTCATTTATCATTATCATTATTATTATTGTTATCAATTGAAAGGTGAAAGGTTCACTTGTTTAATGATGAATGTACCATTAAGACAAATAGAATTATTTTCATCTTGATATAACTAAAAATAAGCATTTCAATTTTTATCTGTAAAAAGGATAAAAGTATTTATAACTAATTATATATGTTTCACAGGAAATTTATTTTGGTATTGTTTGTAATGGTTATCTTCTGTTTTATATTTTCATGGAATTAACTTAGTGGCTTTTTGATTAGAGTTTTAATTTCCAGTATGAAACTTATGTCCCTTTAGTAAAACTTTATTCAAAAGAACTAACCTGTTTGACTATAGTTATGTTTAATTTATGGCAGAAGTTGGAATTTATGCACTGGCCATTGGACCGGGTCCCAATGGCTTAGAAGGTTCTGGATCCAAACCTCGATGGGTGCGTACTGCCAGTGAAACAGCCGTTGAGTACTCCCTGCAGGTTTTCCAATGGTTCTCTAACTGATGTCAGCTTACGATGAAACCCTGTAACCAATCGAATACCTGCAAACCAACACTTGAATATATTTTATCTCTTACACTGTATAAAATAAAATGATCGAACTTTGTATACCTACTTACTTACTCACGTATCCATGGGTCTCACCAGATGAAATGAAATAAATCGCTTGATGCTATAACGAATCAAATAGGAGGTTAAATGTTCTAATGCAGCCAAGTTGACATGCCTGAATAACAAGCGTACGAAGTCTTAACAAAATTTACTCACTCTCTTAATAATTTCAGCTTATTCACATTAGTGCTTCATTCAGTAGGGTTACTGATTGTCAGTCATCCCTTATAATTTCCTTATACCTTTGCAATAATCGAAAATGTTCATGTCTCCGAACAGACTTAAATTTCCTTGAATTTAACGAGGAGGATCGCTGTCGCTGAACACCAATTATGGTTTTGCGCTTGGATTCATAAGCAAGACATGGTCAATGAGTACAAGCTCTGTATTTCTTTACACATATTTTTACTAAATATATAAGTTTTATAGTGCTAAAAATGAAAAGTATACTGGATAAATATATTTTCTAAATCGCATATTTAGTTTTCTTATTAATAGTGCAGATGTATCCTTTAATTATTTTCTACATGTAATCTTTCAAGACCTAATGCCGCATTCACTCGTACAACTCAAAAGTCCTCTTCTTCATACCTTATTGGAGAATTTAACCCAATCTTCAGTCTGTGATTCTACAGCAATATGGCATGTTCCAAATCCGATTAATTTTACATACAAATCCACTGACAGTCAGTTAACAAGAATAAATGATGTTCTTGATACTTCTACTGATTTTACGGATAATATAAACAACAATAATAACATTAATGGTAAAATGAATGAAGACCTATACAAGAATACTGGGAATGAAGTAAATCTTAATGATTGTCAACGTCAGAGACAGAAGTGGGCGAGTGACGAAAACATTAACAGTAGAACAACCTATCAAGAAGCAAATGAGATTTATTCAACAACATTTTCACAACTCAATAACTCAGCTAATCGTATGGCTATGAATTTAGCTAATTATTTAGAACCTAAATGGTCAAGTATTACAAATAAAATAAATCGAACACAATTGAATGATGTCTCTTGCCCATCAACAGATCAATCAATGGAGCATAAAAGCCAGTCGGACACAATAGTTGCACTATTCATGCCCCCAGGAATCGATCGTATTGTAGCACAGGTATGTGACTTGATTATAAACTAATGGTTTATGCATATTACTCAAACCAAGTAAGAAAACAATCGTATTCAAACAACCACTGAAATAGATAATTTGAGAAGAAAACTATTTTGTATAAAGTTTATGTGTTGTGACTAGATGAATGATTACAGGAACTGTGATCCTACAGATGGCATTATTAGTTAGAAACATTGTATTGTGTTTTATTGGTGAGATAAATGAAAAAGTAAAGATGAAAGGGATTGCCGATCTTTAAGAGGAGGGGAAGAGTTATGTTGAGTGTTTTGAATATACTTCAAGGGAATAGTTTTCCGCATCTTTAAGAACTGCGAAATTTCTCTTTGAAGGCGTATATCTAAACATTTTCTCGTATTTGTTAGCTCTATAGTGTCGTGTTAAAATTCTCAAGATGACTTGCGAAAAGAATGAAATCCTATAATGAAAAACTGCAGTTTATGTTTTTTTCCTCATTTCTTATATCACAGAGGAATTAGGTAGACTAAGCAAGTTTTTCACTTTTAATGTATTTGCCTTATTAAGTGGTAGTGTTCACCTTTCTAGATCAAAATGCAATAAAATATCTTGAAAGAGGGAACAAAACAGTTGAGAAGTGTTCTTATGTAAGCTTATGGAACTAAAATGCCAGCTTGTTTTATGCACAGATATGTTGTGATGCTACTGTAATTGCACATATGCAAAAGCTATCTGGATGCTCTAATTTTATGTCCTGCATAGTGTATTAGAGTGTAAAAATACAGCTGTTTTCACTTTGCGATAAGACTACCTTGTTCAAGAGATAATAAATGTAGCAATATTGCAGGCAAATATTTCCACTTATAATGCTACATTTCAATGTTTTATGACATATGATTATCTGCATTTTATATGGAACTCTTTAGGTAATTTGTGCTCACATGAAACAGAAAATATACGAACTTACGATGATAAGATAACAGATTTCTTTTAAAACGGTTATAAAAATTAATAGAAAAGATTTGTAGTACATTATGAATGGTAACTAGATTTTATCCAGAAGTCCATAGTTGGTCGAAAATAATAATCCATCGCCATGCTAGATGGACGTACCATCACTTCCTTTATCGAAGAAGTGGAAGTGCATGAATGTTTTTATAGAATCTGTGTGAGTCTGACAACTTTTAGTTCTTTCAAGAAGGGAATTTAAATACGTTATACTAAGGTGAGAGACATCTTTCTGGCATGTGAGTGAGACTCTGTACTATTATTATTAATGAATATTCGACAGATAGTTTTCACATGACAGTGAAAGAGGGAAAATCAATCGAAGAGGCTATAAAGGTCACGTGCTGCGCATGCCTAACCACCGCATCCCCCAACGGGCATTACTAGCTGATATAAGTGCGGGTTGGAAAATAGTAAGTGGTGGCCAAACAAAATCTTGGTATCAATCAGTCCATGAAATCCTTGACAGTTAAACTGAGTCAGGGTTGGGGCCCTCGGGACTCTAAGAATCAATGGGTGGAGACACTAGGTGACATGGCTCAAAATCGTTGTCAATGGCTTACGCAGATGTATTCAGTCTCTGTAATCTTTCATATCCCTTTCTATCATTACTCATTCTGTTTCACTCTTATACTTGTCAAAACTCTATTGATTCTCTTCACTCATTTTCTTGTCTACCTTTGTGTGCTCTTTGGAACGTGGCAACTCGAACTGCTGCACTTCAGTGCCAAGTTCTATGTTGTATCCAGACAGAGACAGACAGACATGACAGTGGCATGTTGCCTGCGTGTTGCCAAATTTCTAAGTTAGCGCAACTTAATTCACACACATTTATTGGAATCAGTACCCACATAGTATGAGTTTTCAATGACGCCGAAAGTGTCTAGGTCATTTGAAAACCGATTTGCTGTCACAGTAGTTCTGAATCAAACGATTCATTCCTCTTCAGTAAGCAGAACATTCGGGGGCTTGCTCAGGATGTTCACTGGTTACTTAACTGATCTTTTGATGCTAAAGTGAGAAAGCGGATGATTTACAGTTTGTGAGACAGTGATTATTAGCACATTGTTAAAGCGTTTTATTGCCTTTCGTAATTATTAATTGTCTCACTAAGTTCCAGTACAGATATTTTTGACAGCATATGGGGTTTTGATATTGTTCAGAAAAGTAATTCGTGCAATTTACCTTCGTGAATACCTGGAATTTAAGTTCTCCGCTTTCTATTCTAATACTAGTAACGTATCGAACTGAAACTGTTTTCTAATTTATTTATTTTGAGAATTACAAAAGTAAATTCAGCACAGTACGTTAATAGCTTAATTATCACAGTCTTTGACCACTGTTCTTCAGAGACCATTCGATTATAGATAATTATACTTTCATAACATGAAAATAATTAGGAAAATGTTTTACTAAGACATGATATTTTTCATAAAGAACCGACTGAAAATATTCACTAGATTTGATTACATGTCACATGTACATTTTGTAATCTACACCAGAATTTTTTCTTAATGAAACTATGCATGACCCATATAGTCGAGAAGTGAAATAGTCTAAACATCAGACACTGATCAAAAATTATTCAAAACCTGTCGGTATCTTTTTTACTTCAAAGTGTATCAGTTATTATAAGTTAATCACCCTAATTTCAAAGTGACTAAATAATTCGCATGCTTCAGAACTAGAGTGTGCTGACTCCTCATTTAAATATGGCAAGTGAAATGATTGAATGTGTTGAACACTTCACTTATTTGGAAGGTGGAGTCAGCCATGGTGGACTGGTTGCTGGCGGTTCATTTGACGTTTACTAACCTGCATCATCTTTTTCTCAGGCGTATGTACTGTGAAGTGATTCGCGGTTATGAGGTAGGCTTGCTGAAGGTGCATGCCCTCTTCCTGTTCCTTACTTTAGGTGAAGTAACATGATAATTAATCTTGAGGTTAGACCTCGACTGTTGGATAAGGAAGCTAATTCAGTAAACGAATCTGAGAATGTTGACTGCTCGAAGTTATTTGAATGTGTTTACTCATTTTGAGGTGTAATACTCTTCCGTCTGAAGTTCTTTCTAGAGTATAATTAGTTAGAGTAAGTAATGGTTTCGACACCAATCCATGTTGATCTAAGCCAAGCAGGATGATGTTTGTTGCTTGGCTGGGATTCTTCAGACGCGTAGAACCAATGTTTAGAGTCTACTGGTGTCAAATTTCAAAATCTCTGCAACAGTGCTGATATATATATATATATTCGGATATATCCTTTATCTTCAAAATTTTAACATCTCTACTAATCTTCATTGGATTATTCTCTCTCCTATGTCTGTTCGTTCTGTGGCACGTCATTGTATTTATGTTCGCTTCTTTTGTTGCAAATTTAACCTATGCACAAGTGGATTAATTTCTGCTTCGATTTCCGAGTCATTTAAAAGATGATTATGACACCGTCATAAAAAATTATGGGATGTTTTCATGATAAGTTACTGATTGCTGTGTGAACGGCATTACTGCAGTTAGTTTCTTCCGTGGTACTTACATTTGAAACATTTTAGTCTACTGGCAGCTTAAAGGGTTTGATAAAGTCGTGTCTTCATAGTATGTTCTGTTGAACACCACAGAGGTGAACTAACTTTAAGGCTCATTGAAAACAAATGATGAAAGTGCTATACACGTGTTCATTCATCTTATTACTCCCCATCTTTGATGCTTTTATTCACACTGCCTTCTATTCAACTATATATTATTATTTCCATAGAGAAACTTGAACAAAGTGACTACAATATTTTTAGCAGGATAATATAAGCTCATTGATATAAGAGTAAAACTTGTGCATTATGGTAGAGTGTAATTCCATTATGGGTAAATTTTGTTTTGATAAAGTCTCACAGTGTTATACCGTAATGTTTACTGATGACGTTTCGAGCACAATTTATTGCTCATAATCATATCAAGGTAATCACATGACTTCCTAAATTCATTTATATAGTTCCGTTGTTTTTCACTTGATTTGAATGGTAGTATTATTTTCCATATTTCAGGTATGAGTGATGAATCATTCCTATTGCATGTGTTGGGTGTAAATTCGATGAACAAGGATTCAGTAATCAACCTCTCTCTCCACCTACCTAGATTACTTGTTAGAATTTTAGCCCTCTCCCACCCTATTATGTGGTTGTGTGCTAATGCATGCATTGCAATTGCTGAGTTTTTTTCTAAATTACTTATCTTCTCTGGGTCAACCATTCTTGCAATTGTAATGCATGCATTAACACACAACCACATAATAGGGTGGGAGAGGGCTAAAATTCTAAAAAGTAATCCAGGTAGGTGGAGAGAGAGGTTGATTACTGAATCCTTGTTCATCGAATCTACACCCAACACATGCAATAGGAATGAGTCATCACTCATACTCGAAATATGGAAAATATTACTACCAATCAAATCAAGTGAAAAACAACGGAACTATATAATTGAATTTAGGAAGTCGTGTGATTACCTTGATATGATTATGAGCAATAAATTGTGCTCGAAACGTCATCAGTAAACATTACTGTATAACACTGTGAGACTTTATCAAAATAAAATTTACCCATAATGGAATATAAGCTCATGTTTTGTTTTGAGAATTCTTTTCAACTGCTTACAACAAGACTGTTTGAATATACTTTTATCACAATGGCAATGAGTTATTGATAGGACTTTAAGTGACTTAAATCCGGAATGATATAAGTAGTCAAATTGCTAATTTATGGAGGATTGACTATTTATAAGATAATTACACGAATATTCCTGGAAATATAATAAATATGCATATATTTCTTGTCTTCATTGCAGATTGCATGTATGAAGCTTCATTTGGCATACATGCCATTTGATCGTAATGTTCCAGCCGGTCGTATTTCACAATTTTTATCTAAAATAAAACCTATTTTAATATTAATAGCAAAAGATTATTATGATTTCATATATGATAAAAAGGATTCCAAAGATGAGCATTATAACTGTTCAACAGTAACTGAAGACGGTAAATTATTATATGATTCTGGCAGAAAATTTACCTCCAATGATTTTATGGCAGGAAGTCTGGATGACCTTCGAAATACATTTCAATTATTCGATATAAAAGTTTATGAGTATATCAAGTCGATAAAATTATCGAAGTATCATTCACGATCAGATATTTATACTGCATCAATTCCAACTAGATCTTGTTTATTTCCATTCGAATCAGATCCAGTTGTATTGGTGTTATTTACTTCAGGCAGGTAAGAAGAATGATAGTTTTAATTTCCAAGCCTTATTTTGTTTATTTGAAAACAGAATTGTAGCGAATATGTTCTGTTAGTTTTGCAAAGAAATATCATTGAATTAGAGAATCATAAATGTATGAAAATTTTGACAATTTAAGCAAGGAAACCGCTTACACTAAGGAATGCCTTCGTCCATGGTCTTGGGAAGCATGATTCTGTATAAACTTATGTTCATCAGTGTCAGTCAAAAGTTATTTCGCAATTTTAAGTCTACATATTTGTAAAACAGTAATTAAATTTATTGGAAACATTTATTCTCTGTTTCATACATATATGTCCTATGCCGGATCATTCTATTTATGTTCTAATTTGTAGCAAACCGAATTTATGCACAGTTGGGTACGTTCCTGCTTTGATTTCTAAGTTAGAAGACAGTTGGGACATTGCAATAACAAACTTGACTGATAGAATTCAGTTTGCTGCATACCGAGGACTAGACGCATGACACTGGTTACAGTCCTACAGGAGGTTAGTGGAGATCGCAATTAGTTCAAGGTAAACACTTCTGAATGCAGTACTGGGCGACGCGGATTCGAACCTCAGAGGGAATGTGAGTTCCTTCACAGTTTGCAGATACGGCTTACTGATGAGCCCGAAAAAGCACAAAGCCTAAGTACGGGGCTTTCTGTCAATTGCTTCCTATCATCTAAATTTAGATACAGCATTTCTGCTATTCTAAACATCTGGTTTTATCCACTCCTCCGGATTAAAAACTCGTTTGGTTATTATATCATAATAAAACAACACTTTCATAGAAATTTGATTAAAAATAACTATAAGGAGTTTGGAAATATTTATACCTCATTTGTGGCAAACTCCCTGTTGATTAAGTACACATGTGGGTAACCAAATCAAAATGCAGCCTCGTATAAAATGGATCAGTTTCAGTCGGAAGTAATCTGAAATCAAGTGATACCACTATAAACGTGAGAATATGAACTGAAATGAACAGATCGAAGTAAACTTTCTTGAGAATATTCAGAATATTGAAGGCATTGAAAATTGGATATATGCACGACCTTAAATAGGTAGCCTATGTTTCTTTTCACAGTTTATACTAGTAATCAAAGACTTCTTAAAATGGTGATGTCTTGGTTTAGGCTGCTAATGAAACAATATTGGTGAAAAAAACTAGCGTCAGAATTGTTGGGTGTAATTTCTTTTGACACTGAGAGGACAAAATGAGTAGGAAATGTCTAATACAGTAGCAAAACAAAAGGTGAATGCATTCCCATATATGCACCAATACATTTTTTGTTCGAATCGGAAAATTTTCCTCTTCACTATAAAAGTTTTCCTGCTTAACTATCAGTGTCATATTTGAATTATGAATAAACCATTATTACAAATCAGATATTAATATGAAACGCTTTTTTTTTAACTCAGCGTAAATTCTGATCCCAAGCCTGTAAAACTTCGTACAAAACAATTGCTTAGGCGTTTGGAATGGCAGTGGAATCCAGTCTCTGATATGGACTTACCCAACCTTCAAGACACTATAATGAATCCAACTGGATCAGTTAAACGTATTGGTTTGGCTAAGACAGCTTGGAGTTTTGTAGATGGATTTACTGAGTTATTTAGTTGTCTTTTGGCTGGAGTCCCAGTAGTTGTTCCTGGTGGATCAAACTGCCCAAGTGAAAAATCTGTAACTGATGTTCAACAGTTGATGAATCTCACAAAATATTTTCATATTAGTCATATCACCACAGTTCCCGCGCAACTAGATCTATGGCTGAAACAGCTACATCTAAAACCTAAGCAAAAGGTAACAAGTAATTTTTCCAGTTTGCGAACAGTAGTTGTTAGCGGTGATATAATGCATCCTAAAGTTGCTCGTGAGTTTTTTCAACTTTTCAGTAGCTCAAAAGTGCGCCTGATAAATTTATACGGCACAACTGAAGTAGCTGGTGATGTTACCGGTTTGGTATTCCATAACGAAGAAGATGTAGTAAAAAACACCAAGATTGTACCATATGGAGTAGAAAGAGAAAATAAAGAACCTGGTAGGGCAGTACTCTCTGTTGGCACCTCGATGCAAGGGACCGCCATTTTAATTGTTCAAGAAGATGATGGTGATGAGCATCTTGTCAACAGCGAAGAGAATCAAACCAATCTAGATAAATGGTCAACTTCATCACTATCTTTTATTGGATCAGTCAAACAAAGCATTAGCTTAGAACAATTTCCATTTAAACTTCTACCAAAAGGTCATGTAGGTCAAGTATGCATTATTGGACAACAGCTATCTGAAAATGTTGGTAATTATCATGTTGTCCATACTTCACTAGATAATCCAAAATGCTGCAACCAAGAAAGAATATCAATTCCAACAGAAGGTGTTTCAAGGACATCTAGTAATCTGAAGGAAGTTCAAGTATTTATGCCTGGTGACTTGGGGTTTATTGATCCCCATACCGACCATTTATTCATATATGGTCGAACTAATGAATTAGTAAAAGTCAACGGGATACGATTCCATGCACGTGATGTAGATAACTTATTTCTGGAGTTGAAGAAAAAATGGGAAAACAAAGGTTTAATTAACTGCAGCAAAGAAGAACAACTTGTAAATAAAGTATCTGAAACTGTTACACTAACAATACAAACTGTACATGGACGTGATTTAAAATTGGCATGCTTTTATGTCATAAAAATGGATGAGAACCGTAATATTATGAATCGTTCTACAGTAAATATCGAACCTGTTGAGAATTGTGAAAAATTAGAATTACCTAAAGAAGATGATTTCGCCGCTATATTTTGTAATTATATACCATCCTGTCTGTTACCGACATTTATAAATGTAAGTTTTAATCGAAAACAATAACATGAATTTTTCTAAACATACATGCCATTACTAATTGAAAAATATAATTTTGGACTATGTGTGTTTAAAGTTCCAAGCTTTTCAAAAAAACTCTTGGAGTTCGAATTGTCCTGGTAAATGAAATATATTTCTGTAAAACAGAGGAATAAATTTAGTTTCAAGTTTGACCACGGAATGATTTGAGTTAAAGACACCTGTTTCGCCTCAATTTGGGACTCATCGACAGTACAAACTCACCGCGGTTCGAAACCAGAGCCTCCTGATTACAAGGCAAGCTCATGAACCAACTAGCCACTGTGTTCCGACTCAGTCGTCCATGAATTCTAACTTTTACCAATTCATAATTTTAGCTCAGCCACCAGCCAATGCCATCGGTAAGTATTTGACTTCACTTCCTACTGGGTAGACCCAACTGGTCACGACTTCTCACCAAAAATCCAGGGAACTTCATCCTGCGGCCAGTCACTAACTAGCATCAGATCAGGCTTGAAACAAACCGAATCCCCACAGACTAACACTTGAAAATTAATCTGATGCTGGCTGGTCACTGGCTGCAGGAAGAAGTTCCCTGGAGTTCTAGTGAGAAGTCATGACCAGTTGGTTTTACCCAGTAGGGAGTGAAGACAAATACTCACGGATGACATTGGCTGATAGTCACGTTAAAATTACGAATCGGTAGAAGTTAGAATTTGGGGGTCACTGAATTCCAGCCTAAATGACTGAATGGTCAAAAAGCTTGATGTCACAACCTGAAGTTCATGCGTTAGATCTCTAGTGGGTTCGTGGATGCGCATTGCTGAGGAATCTCAAACTAGAATGAAACATGTGTCTAGTGCTTCCTGGTTTTCGGTGACTTCCAACTGATTCTGGTTCCTGAAGAAATCTAACAAATGGGACTGAAGGAATAAATTCTGTCATTATTCCAAAACATACTCGCTCCAGTTTATCATTCATAATTATGCGTCAGACTACGATAAACTAGGGTCACATTTCTAGTTATCGTATGTGAAATAAATAGGATCTAACTTGGAAGATTAATAGTTCTGTAAAAACTCCTTAGAATTTCTTCTGTTATTTGATGTTTCATTAAACAGATTGTAGTTAAGTTCTCACATTTATTGACTGAGCAGAATCGCTAAGGGATTATTTATATTTCTGAGACAAACTGTAAGGTTAGTCATTCTACTGGCAGCCATTTGATGTAAGAAGAAATGATATATCATATCATGGTAATCCTGTAAAGCAATATTATTTTTAAAACATCTGCATGATTTTGTAGAACAGAAACTTTTTCTGTTTACTATTTACTGTATAAATGAATGAAGGTCAAATTTTAAGAGATATTTTCACCATACATATATATATTACTGAAAATCTAAAAGGTAGTAGATTTTTGTAATAAACTTTATTCGTAGTTCATTGTCGCAAATATAATAAACTCATTTGCCGTGTAATCTTCCCCAGTTTAGATTACTCGTAATAAATAGAGTTCACTTGTAGAGTGTGACAAAATAAAGAATATATAAATATATATTTATGTATATTAGTGAGTAAAAACCTTCGATTTCGAACTTTTGAGCTCGAATTATTTAATCCTTTTAGAGAACATTCTAACTATAAATCTTCATGCATTTATTCCCCTTGGTGAATTTGAATAAAGCAAGAACAACAGTGGTTTGTGCAGAATAATGTGGTACCATCATTTATTTCGTTGGCTTCTCATCAGCTGCTTACAGCCTAAATAAATTATGAGGTTTATGTACAGAAAATTTTCAACATACTTGCAAATTTTTCATGGTGTCAGTTGACAGAAGGTTCCACAATTAGTGAACAGTGCTCAGAAAATTGCGTTTATATAGTTTTTGCACAGGCAGTTCGAGTTTAAACAAAATAAATGTATGCATACAATGGTAAAGGAGTTACGTGATAAAGACGAGAGATGCGTAAGATGCTGAGTGACAAGTAAATTAGGTAACAATGTACTGAGTTCAACTCAAATCATAGAAACAAGAGACAAGCAAAATTACAAATTATAAAAGGGGGGGGTGAGGTTAAAGCCAAAGATTACGCAATCAAATGGGAGAATAAAGACATCCAGTTACCAGGACAAGGAAAGACTAATAACTGCTTCTTTCTGAACACATAAATCTGGTTTCAAGCGTTTGATAGAAATTGCTTCGGCAAACTTAAGGAGAATCGAGCTCCTTTGTCCATTGATAATTTTAAAGGATTTTACGATTTCCACCTCATGACCCGCATCGAGGAGATGTCTGGTAATAGCGCTATTATAAGAGTTTGTTCCTTTGAGACGTAGGCTTTTCGGCACATGTTCTGAGCACTGTTCAGTAATTGTGCAACCTTCTGTCAACTGACACCATGAAAAATTTGCAAGTATGTTGAAAATTTTCTGTACATAAACCTCATAATTTATTTAGTCTGTAAGCAGCTGATGAGAAGCCGACGAAATAAATGATGGCACCATATTATTCTGAACAAACCACTGTTGTTCTTGCTTTATGCATATAAATCTTCAATTATTCCAGTAAATTTAGTTTGTCTATTTTACCCGGTGTCTATAACATAGTTTCTTTTAGGATATCAGTACTTAAGGAATTTAGTTCGATAATTATGAGGAAAATTTCCTTTTATAAAATAGGATCCATCTCACTAACCATAGAACACTTCTTTAAAGCATTTCTTGTATGCTTTATACTTAAAGGATACAATTTCATCTGGTGGATTAGAAAGCTATCTCAGTAAACATGAGTAGGACAACACAACTTATATTTAATGTCTTAATTAATGGTTTCCACCTTATTTTTTATTTTTAAGCATATAAATAGCACATGAATTATTAGTTGACTTTAGATTTTGAAAATAATTCAAATCTAGTCCAGGACAGCATTTCAGAGGTATACTGATCAAAAGAAAGGAAAACAACAGCTCATTTATCTTTTATATATATTTTTCTGGTAAATAATTGCTAGGTTGATCATATTCCATTGATGAGAACAAATGGAAAAGTGGACAAGGAATATTTACGCCAGTATTATTACTCAAAACATTATTGTGAAATTCCAGAAATATCGAAGCCTATTCAACCAACCTGGAGGAGTGAGAATATAAGAAAAATCATCGACAATAATATTATACCCTGTAGCATAACTAAACGAACTGATCAAGCAAACCATCAGAATACAGTCGATTTTCAAGTCATGAAAAGTCGGGAACGTGCTAGAAAAGTATTAGCTGAAGTGCTTGGGATCTATAATTCAAATGGTGATGTTATACCTGGTAGACCAAAAGATGATGAAGACTTTTATCTACTTGGTGGTGATTCTCTCCTGGTAAGACGGTGATTTGATATTACTGATGGTTTCCTATTTTTTCTTTCTTCTACCCATAAAATTTAGTCCAGATGATTTTGAATAAATAAATGAAAGCTGATAGATAATTATTATTATGATTACACGATTTTCGGCTCTGCTTGACTTTGCCCTGGAGGTCAAGTTAAAGAATAACGGTTCAGGAGTGAGAACTCACCAATGACCTTGAAACTTTAAATGCACAGCAGGTTAGTGAAGTCAGGTGACAGGCATTATATTCGTAAAAATAATGATGAAAAGAATTGTGTAAATATCGAACGGGTAAGTTTAGGGTTAAGTTAGGGAAAGATTAAGGTTACGGTTAAGATGGGAATAAGTCAGGGTTAAGTTGATTTTAAGTTACAGGAATATTAGAAGTGTTTAGAGGAAAATCAAGGTTAGGGTTGAGTAAGCGACCCGAATTTACCCTTTGAAATCGACAGGTCATTTCAAAGTTATTGGTGTGTTCGCATTCCTGGATAGCTATTCTTTAAGTTTGTCATATTGTATTTGTTACGTAATGTTTTCAGGGTGGGGTAATAAAATGTGAATGAGTTAAATGAATCCCAATTATTCAGATAACTTGCAACTTAGTCTGAATGTTAATCGCAGATATTCCCTGGTCAGTGTATTAACAAGTGATACTTAAACTAAAACCTTCTAAGGAAGATATACAGTTACTCGAAATACATATCTCTGAGATGAAGCCATTTAACTGTCTTTGTTCAGTACTCACTTTACCAGTTATAACAAATACGATGTTTCTGAGGTGGAAAAATATCAAATTATAAATATTTGTCCTTAGAGTTGAATTACTGATCAAACACGACCTACTTCATTAAAACAAGAATCAGATATAAGTTGTTTGTAATATGCGAGAAATGATAAATTTTGCATCAAAAGTTATTCACTAATGACATCGTAGTACTTGATTCTGGAACAGTAAGTAATACTAACCCTTCTCACATTTGGCATGAATATGACAATAACAGTAAGGTCAAAGTATTTGTGTTTACCGTTGATACAAATTGTTTGCTTAAATAATATTGAGTAATTATGCTCAGATTACTATAGATCCAGAGAGCAGACTACCACGATAACCTGATATCAGTTTATCTCATTAATCCATCATAACTCTTAGACATATATTGTGGAATTCAAAATATCTAATAATCTAATATGGCTTACAAAGTCTACAATAAGGGCAGTGTGCATCGGTGGTGCAGCTGAAGAACGCTCGCCGACTAAGCTCAAGGTCCGGCATTCGATCCCCTACTAACGTACTCTTACACCTCATTAAGCTGATAGTAAGGCCGGCAAAGAGGGAAGGTTGAGTGTCAGACTAGCAAACCCACCCCGTAACAATATTATCACTGCTACTAAAACTTCAGAGCTGAAGCCTGAAGTCCTGTGTTTCACTTAGAACGCAAAAGAACAAAACAAATTAATAAAAATAATAAATTATAAGGGCTGTGAGAGCCATTATGTTATGCCATCGTGTCACCTTGTTGCCCAATGCAATTGAGAATTTCACTTGGTAATTAAACATCAAAATACAAGTTCACTTATTTTAATAAATATTGACAAATATTATCAAAAGCCCAACAGGAAAAAATTAAAATCTAAGATCAAGTCAGTTTAAAGGGAGAAAGAGAATTTTTAACAGTACGGTATTCAAGCGGATAAGCTGGTACTGGATTTGAATGCTTAACCGATTAGGCCGTCACCCCACAATTTCCTTACTTTAAGCAGATAAAAAATTAGCCTAGAAAATAGATTTTTTGAAAAACTATTCAAGCTTATTAGATAATAATTTTAGACCAAAAATAAAGTGGATTCGGGACAGTTAAAAGTGAAGCATAAGACAAGTTATTTAGTATCTTTGGTACAAGAGACTAAATAGGTTTAAATGTGAACTTATCCTTTGAAAGATAGATTGAAGTTGACGTGGCCTGCAAACGAGTGTCAACTGTCGGTCGGTTAAGACAGTTTCAAGAGATAAATACAACAATGACATCTGAATGATATAGATTAACGGGAAGGTGACAAAAATCAATTTAAATGAATGACAACTAGAAAGATATGACCTACAGCAATGAGCTTAGACTGATAAGTGAAACAGAAGGCGACATATGAAACTGGTTGATGTTACAATCCCAACTAGCGGCCTCCAGTTTATTAGCCGAGCTACAGGACTTAGCCTTTAACCAGGTTATCACCTCAGAGCAGTCGATCCAACCTCAACCTAGTTCTTACCTTCAGCCCTCAAACATTGCAGTTAGCCAGCTATCTCAGATGCTGTCACTAATAAGAAGAATATTAATCAGATATCAGTAAGCTGTTCACATAGAAAAGTTTTGTAAATAATCTCAACAGGTGTTCCAAATTCTCCTTTGTATGAAGTAGCACTGCGAATAACGGCAGAACTGAGGTCAACAGGTCTTGTGGAAGAATACCCAGTTTCAAAGACAGTATGGTTACCGAATAAAATTACTACATGTTCCATGTGTACCTACTAAATGAGAAGCAAAACTAATCATGGTTTACAAGTAATGTTAGAGAAAAGTTACCCTGTTGAGCACGTCAGCTGTTTCATTCATGAATTTAGTTGCGCTTATCTGATCACTGGGGATATTTTTATTAGGTAATGAAAACTCAATTGACTTTGTGAACTCTTACAGATCAGAAGTACAAATAGATTTCATAGTCTACTGGTATTCAGCTGAATATTCGGCTTCTGAACAGAAACGGTGATGATCTAGCAGTTGGTTTTATTGGTAAATCTAAAGTCTTGCAGGATATTAAGCTATATGAGGGATAGAACATGTGTTTCAAAAATAATGTAGTAATAATAAAAGCTTTATTCTGGACAAAATGTTTACACAATGTACAGAAATCTCTGCATGATTTGTTGGATTATATTTTCTCATCCGGTATCTTTAATATCATCATGTGACGCAGTACTGTTCGATCTGAAGTATAGACCGATCCCTTATGATATTTTTTCCTTCATCTTCCAGGAATGCACATCACTACTCAGAAGGTCAATTAAAAACGTTCATAGGTACACTTCCCGACTCAAGAACACAATTGAATGGTTACAATAGTAAGAATTAGAGAAAATATGATGCATTGTGTTGGATGGAAATTCAGATAGCTCACTGATTCAAATACACCACCAAAGTGGAAGCCCCGAGAAATAAACTGCCTATATTTAACAGTTAAATTCACTCTTAAGTCATCGTCAATTGTTGATGAACGGTAGAGGGAACTTGTGAATATTTGCGTCTACCTGGTGAAAGTAAAATTCTTTATTTGTACGTACAACTACAAAATGATATCATTCTTTATCAAAATGGTGGTATTATTGACTAGTTTTTATGATTTCTTTGTTTGTGTTTTATTTCTTTTGCGGAAGAGGTGAATTATCGAAGTATGTTTGGTAATTCTGTTAAAACTCTATCAATATCAGGTTTTGTCAAATCTTACTCTTTCTTTAAAGTTCATCCAAACTTTTGCTATTTATTAAAGATGATTTATTGGAGGTAACAACATTTTAAGTACACAAACGAAACTCACCTGCAATGACAATATATTATTCCCTTCCTATACTACTTGTTTTATAGAGTGTTTTAGCCACAGAACAACTAAGACAACTTGGTTTTAATGCAGATCTTGATATATTTACTAGAACAGGAAAGATTGGCTCAATATTAACGCATTTGGAAAAGTCTGAACCGGATTATGAAAAGAAGAAAGAAGCTTTGGTCGTGAATTCATGGACGAAAGATATTCCCTGGCACAAAATTTTTAAAAGATCACAGACATGCAATGCCATTTATAGGATACCTTTAGTGGAAGATGATTGGGGTGAATCACCAGTAAGTAGGTAGAAAATCATTTTTGTATGGCGGAAAATAATTACTCAGTTTGCTTTATATATTCTGTATTAGATTAATTTTGTATGAATTTTTAATGAAATAAATGGATATTTTTTGCTTGTTCCAAATGGATAGCACTATATTACATTATTATTTATTTGGGTTCCGAGTGGAACAAAGGGCTTCAGCAGAATGTCTCCACCACACTCGGTTTTCTGCTGTTTTTTTCAGCTAGCTGTATGACTCAACACAAGGCTTCATTTCCTCCTCACACGATCTCCTCATTGTTACTTTCAGACCCACGCAAAACTTGTGGTTTCCCATTCGGGTTATGCTCGAGGGCCTTGTGTGTGTGTGTTGTCATCAACAGTCTCCTCAGAGTATGTTCAATCTATCTACATTCCCTTCTAAATATTTATTGAACAGTAGGTCATCAGGTGGTTCACTACACTGCCAGGGTGCCTTGTTGATTATCCTTTCCGGTCGATCAACCGATCTTCATTACCGAGCGAATGTAGGTATTGGTGAAAATCTTCAGCCTCTTGGAAATGCTATTGCTGACGCATGCACCAATTCTTTGAACCACATGGAAGCACTGACCTAACATTTGTGTTGAAAATCTTGAATCTTGTTCCTTAGGCCGGCTGAGTGATGTAGATTTCCACAATGACTTCAGATTAATGAAGGTCTGACTTCCTTTCTTGATGTGATCCTGCTTTGCTCTGATAATCTCACCCGTGTTGCCTGTAGCTTAAACGGCACTGCTTTGATTCGTAAAAGAGGTGACTTCCTCCCGACTTCTCCCATTTGTTAGTGATTGGTGCTTATTGTTGTTGGTCGCCAGGTATCTTCATCACTTTTGTCTTCTCTGTGCTTACTTGAAATCACGTATTCGCTGGTTTTCTCCCGTAGATCTTCGATTTTGTGTTACATTAGGTAAAAATCTTCCATAAAGTTCAAATCTTCTAGAGTATTTTTGCCAGTCCAACGTATCCCTGTCTTCCCGCTCCACACGGTCTGCTACACGATTCAGTCCACCACAGCCAGGAATATCATAGGTGATAACAGTCAGCCATTTCATATTCCTGTATTCACTTCAAACGCTTCTCTGGGTTTTCTGTTGTTGGTCGCTTGGCATATGATATTATAAAATAGCTGTTGAATGAGGCTGATAAAGGTTCGGGACACTCTGTAGTGTCGGAGCAATTTCCGGAATACTTCTCAATGTATAGTGTCACAAATACTTTATTTCTTAATTATCTTATAAGTCATAGTCACCAATGGTCTTCAGTTAATTATTTGCTTTCATACTCTGACTGTGAGGTCATTTTACTACTTTTCATCTATTTTTTGTACGATATTCACTTGTGTTCCAACTGAAATGGTACGACTTTGAAATAAAAGTTTTACATTAGTGTATTTTTTCTTTCCCTTATAATATAAGATAAATTTAGCTTTAATAGCGTTGACAAATCTAGGGAGAAGTTATTCAGCTTTCTTTATTGGTCAGAGAAATGTTTCATTTGTCTAAAATCCTCAAAGTTCAGCGAGATGACGAAGGTTTTTTAAACTTTACCTCATTGATGATCAGACTATCTAGGATTACTAATTATATACTTTTTTGAAATCGAAGATTAAAAAAATGAAAATCTAGGTAGCAGCAAGATTAGAACCAAGGTAGAGGCTTAAAGTTTCAGTAGCAGTGGTATTTCTTTTTGCAGGATGGGGTTGCCAGCCTCATGCCCAACATTCCCTCTTTACCAGTCTTATTACTGGCTTAGTGGGGTTCAGGAGTGCGTCGGTCTGGGATCGAACCCCAGATCACATGAGTGGTCGGCGAGCATTCTACCATCAACGCTATTTTTCCATTAACTGAGATTATTCACCTTTGTGATTAGCGGCTAAGATGAATAAAAGTTTTCGTTATTACAGTTAGATAACTATTGATTTACGGCTATATAGTATCACTCAGATGGAAATTGGCTTGATAAATATGGTGGCTGAGAACACAACTCCTGTATCTATGACTACAGTACTATAACTGATATTTTTATTCTCTTCACATTATAGAAAATTTATCCATTGGGTAATTATGAAATCTTTATTGAAGAATGGAATAATGAGAAGGGCAGTGGGACGAAGAGACAAGAAATAGTTGATACTCTAGTGAATGCATTTATTGAGAAAGATCGACTATCTCATGCACTAAAACTTGATAGAGGAGATCTACAAGAAGCGGTTGAAGCATTTCTAGGCAATCACAAACCTAACTTGGGTATTGTACTGACGGCCAGATATTATTGTCAGAATTCATGTGAACAAGTTTTGGAGCAGGAGAAACTGGTTGGTGCGTTGGTCAGTTTACCAGTATCACATGTTCCATCTTTAAACAGAACACCGAAATTAGAAATACTCCAACGATATTTCGATATGTGTACTAAACAAGAGGCATTTCCAAATATTTCACCTGATAACTTGCTTTCAACTTTGATGATTGGCATCATATCTCAGTCTCCATATAGTAATTCAAAATATTTACAGAGTTACTTACCAAATTGGAAGAAAATATCTTTGAAACTGTTAGCCAGACTGGAAACCGATTTACTCAGAATTGCAGCTAAACGTGGTTATGTAGGCGTTGTCACACTAAATACAAGTGAAGTAACAGAGGTGAGCAATATTATATAACCAATTTCTACTTTTTATACATTCTTCTCACTTTGATATTTGAAATGAAGGCACTAGAAACAGGTTTAAATTATATTAGTTAAACTTTTATATCCTATACGGAAAAGGTTGAAGCGAGTTCAAAATATGTACATACTCTGAAAAAGAACTTAGGCGAGAAAGTTTAGAAGCAAAAACGTTGTGTGAGTGACTTGATATGATTATGAGCAATAGTTTGTGCTCGAAACGTCATCAGTTAATATTACTGTACAACACTGTGTGATTTATCAAAATAAAATCTTATCCATAATGGATTTATACTCTACCACAGTGCCCAAGTTTTATACTTATATCAATTAGACATACTTTAGATGGTGATAGTAACTGATAAACTGTGCAGTGATGTGGTGAATTCAGCTCAACTAAAAAAACACAGTAAGAAGTGAAATGTTTGATAGACCACAAAGGAAAGAGGCTAAACTCAAAGATTAAACCATCAAATACAAAGAAGAGTTGAGAGATTGTGTTGACAGGGCAATGAAAAACTGATAACTGCGTCTTTTGAAACACAAAAAAAATCTGGTTTCGTACGTTTGAAAGCTTTAGCTTCAGGAGACTTGAGAAAAATTGAATTGTTCTGTTTTGCTGACTATCTTAGAGAATTTTAGGGTGACTACCATATGTTTGGCATCGTCAAAATGCATGGTGATTGCATCACTGAAGTCATTTATTCCCTTGATAGGAGGGCTCTAGTACATTTTCAGAGCATCTGCCTTGTACCCTTCATTCTGTTATCCCTATGTAACCCATATGGCAGATACATATAAATCTAAGTACACGTGAAGAGTGTACCTATCTTTCTTCGACTGGATCAGATAGAATGCTGTTCGACACGCGGGAATCAGCTCGGCTACACAGGTAGGTTCTGGCTAGTGAGGTGTTCAGTGCTCCACTGACTATTCCTGCAATATTATCAACCCCTAAATTGAGTTGTATAAAGACAGACCTCTTATTCACCGTAATTTTCTTTCATTTATATCTCCAAACCTTCAGTATGTGTTAGTGAGTTTCCCTGAATACTCATCATTTTTAAGGGTGAAGGTGATGGCGTGTATATTTTAATAGCAGATAAAAATCGCATGGTCTGAAACAAAGTAAATCCAGTCGGTCAAATTGCTTAATTTGATATTATGCAAACCGAAAGATCCAACAGAAAAAGGAGATAAAATGAATACCATTGTATGAACTGTAACAAGCATTACATCGGCCAAATTGGGCGTCCCTTTCGAATTAGAATCGAAGAACACAAATCAACCGTGAAAAGACACGATATATATTCTTTAGTATCAATGCATACAGACAGTTGTGGACATCAATTTGATTGGGATAATGTCAAAATCTTAAACAGAGGAAACACCAAAAGTGCCAGGGAATTCCTAGAAGCCTGGTACTCAGACGAAAATACAATTAACCAACACGTTAATATAGACGAAATATACCAACTAATAAAAAGTAAATCATGTGTTGGTTTGTAGGGATTTGATTGGTTATAGGATTTTCATCATGAGCTGACATTAGTTAGAGAACCATTGGAAGACCTGGGAGTACTGGACAGCTGTTTCGTCCCAGTTTGGGACTCTTCAGAAGTACGCACCCACCGGGATTTGAACCCAGGACCTTCTGGTTACAGGGCGAGCTCGTATACCATTGAGCCACTGGGACCCGATCCAATGGCCCATGAATTCTAACTTCTGCCAATTCACAACATAGCGCGACCCGTAGCCAGTGTCTTCGTTGAGTATTTGTCCTCACACCCGACCTGCTGTACCCTACTGGTCACGACTTCTGACTAGAGCCCCAGGTAACTACCTACCTGAATAGGGCAAGTCGCTAGTGAGCATCTCATTGATAATCAAGTGTTGTTTGTAGGGATTTGATTGGCTACAGGATTTTCATCATGAGCTGACATTAGTAAATAAAGTAAATCAGGTGACCAGAAAGTTTAAAATGCAAGTCAATAGAAAATGGTCAATACATATGTGAAGATGGTTACCAGGAGACGCAGTTATATCACTCATGAAGAGATTTAAATCATTTCACTTTGTGCTAAATATGGCGCTGAAGATGTTGTCCAGGAGGACGACGAAAGCTCCGCAACCAAACCAACCAGCTCAGAGAACACTATTAATTGCAAATCATCATCCACCTGAGCTATAAATCTTCTCTATTATTGCAAAGTATATTCCTATCATGTTAAATTTTATGGATTTGGGAAAATCACACAAACCAGTCTATACCAAATAACAAAAGAACTTAACTCAAAGAATAACAATTTTTGTAGTACTTAAAGGGTTTATCAATCAATCATCTGCTTTGCAAATGGCAGTTGAATGACGAAAACACTGCTACAGAGCTTACCATTCTTATATCTTGTTTCACATATTATCTTCGCTTCGAGTCTGCAAAGTTCAAAATGCTATGAAGAAAGTTGTAGACTATTCGAAAAAAGGATATACTTAAAACACCAATTTTTAGAAAGTTATTTTCAAATCTTATTTTTTCGGTGTGTGATTGGTTTTTACAAATAAATATGAATTCATTTAGAAGTATTTAATAGTCAGGGCTTAGATCAACCGAATCTTAAAAGGAATGTAATTGATACAGATGAATATATATATATATATATATGTATACATCACTCGAAATAAATATTTTTATTTTAACGCTGAAAAGTGTGCTTTAATCCTATGAAAGAACTTAATACAGTTTATCTGAAGTTAGAATAAAGTGTCAAACATACAGAATTCAGGTTTTCTTTTAATATCTCTTAGATTCAGTCTGTTTGTAAATCAAATTATGTCACCAGTATACATTCTGCATTTACGTCGACAGTTCAGGGAGGAGAAAATGCCTACCAGTCATGCATGCTGTACAGGTTCCCTCTGCACCCCTAAACCTCGTCTGGACGGTAGTGAATCCAGAAAAAAGAGGTTAGATCGGGTGTGACACTGTCAGTCCCACCCTGTAAAAACGACACTACCGATATCGGAACTTCATAGCTTGAAACCCTGAGTTCCACTTGGGATGCAATGAAGTGAGCAATAAAACGTTCTATCTAGCTATGAGTATCTTAGATGAAAAACTCAACAAGTACTCCCGACAAATTTTTTAAAATTACTACTCCATTCTTTTTGTGTGTTAATTATTAATGTTACTAATATGTATATATATATGCCACTGTTATTATTATTACTTTTTTATAATTCTTCTTAACTTTAGGAAATCTGTTCACAGTTAGGCTATCAAATGGTTCAAACAACTACACTAAAATCATTTATGACTAGTGAACAGCGCTCATTAGCTCCTCAATATGAACGTATACGTTGTGCATACATGTCAAAAGAATTAATCTCCTCAAAATATAAACAACCAAACAGATAATAAATAGAACAACATCTTTTTTTATCAACACAAATGAGTCAAAAAAAAGAAAGAAAAAAAATACTCAGTAAACAAAAAAGTTAAAGAAAAATTATTTACAAAAAAATAACAAAAAACATTTTGAATATTTTCTGATGAAAGAAAAAAATTTTCCTCTTCTTTTTAAGAAAAAAAAATGAAACCCAACATAAAACTGAAATAAAAGAAGATAAATTGAAAAAAAGATGTTATTGTCTATTTCCCAAAAACTTTGTTACTTATTCGACTTTAAAGGTAGTTTAGTTGAGTAGTTGAAAGTCTGAATACAGAAGTGAATGACCGTCACCTTTCCTAACTTCTGTTTATTATCAGAGAAGAGATTGAAAGACACTTGAAGAAATACATGTGTACCATAGTTTCTTGCATTCGTTATCTAACTTTTTAGTGATAAACGTATACTACGTTCTCTTGTAGAATAGGCTATTGATGTTGTAAAGTTACATCGACTGAGATAGTTAGGAAATGTGTTATGCATGCCAAGCCGTAGCCCTCTTCGTCCAGCTTGGAGGAGAGTTAGGTGTGGTCAAATCAAAACATACTGTCAAATCTATGAAATATTTGGCGGTTGTTTAATTGAATTTCAGATTTTCCCGTCGATTGATTGAACCGAAGTGCTCGGTCTCAATTTGACATGTCGGCTTCTTGTGCAGACGCTTTGAAGATGCTGGACATGTAATTAGAATTTTTAATTGGTGGATGGTGACTAGCAGTGGAATCCAGGATGTGTATTTCGTCCTATTTGGGACTCGTCATCTGGATGTACCTGCATTCCACAGTGAGTGATGATGTTCCCACCGAGGCTCGAACCCAGTGCCCATAGTTTCAAACGTCAAAGTGTTATCCACTAGACCATTTGGGCCACGAGAGCCACCTCTTGTGTAACGGCTCTTATTAATTATTTAAGTCAGGCTGAGACCGAGCACTTTGGTCCAATCAATCGACGGGAAGATCTGAAATTCAATTAAATAATTAATATGACCCGTTGCACAAGAGGTGGCTCTCGTGGCCCAAGCGGTCTAGTGGATAACGCTTTTGCGTTTGAAACTATGGGCACTGGGTTCGAGCCTCGATGGGAACATCATCACTCACTGGGGAATGCAGGTACATCCAGTTGACGAGTCCCAAATAGGACGAAATGCGCATCGTGGATTCCACTGCTAGTCACCATCCACCAATTAAAAATATTTGGTGGTTGGTTTGAACTGCATTGTTGTGGTCCTCGGAATACTATGAACCAATGCCTTGAAACTGTTGGTGACACGGTTCAAGATTGTTCTCAATGACCTAGATTTAATCTCCAAAATTGTTCAGATCATCATGTTTCTCCATACTGCGATTATTTCTCACAAACATCTCTGTTCGTCTTAGTTCATTTGAATTTCCTTCTTTTATCTTTCTTTCTGTGGTATATGCGGTGTGGAGACTTGAAGAGCCGCATTTCTGTGCAGAGTTCTACGTTGAAACTCAGTCAGGCCGAGAACTGATAAAATTTATATGTTCCACTAAATGTATATTCGTTTTCATGAGAAATTTATTCAGGTTGACAGTATACAAGACATAGAATTGTGAAAATAGTATCAGATGGTAGAAAAAGTAATCAATACAACTACCGTTCACTAGAAAAGATTTTCCTTTGTGAGGTGGTGAAAATCAGCAGAAAAGTTGGAAATAAATATTCACCTTTTTGAATTATTTCCATCCTATTACACGATGAAATTTTGGTAATTTAAAACTCGCACATACAGCAGCAAGACGTAAAATAGACAAACTCTTGATGTAAATATAGAGTAACCTTAAAACCATAAGCTCACAATATTGTCCATGATCGGTTCAACATGCAAATCACAACAGGATACATTACATGCAATAGTCGATATTTCTATAACCTTGTTGCCTCAAAATTGCATTCTGTAAATAATAAATGAATGAGTAAATAAAACAACTTAAATTTAAACAAATTCCCGTATAAGCATAACACACAAATTTAATGTGTTTATGATGCATAAAATAGCACTATTTGAATAGTATGAACACCGTAATATTTTGAAATTATGAAGAAGGTTGAATACTTTTGAATTAGAAGGAAATCTATTTAACCACAGTACTACTGAAATAGTCTTTCATCTCACGAAATCTATAACAAGTAATTGTGACCACATGGATAACGAAATGCTAAGGTGAATATTTTATTTAGGCACTAGGCTGATGGGCCTGCTAAAATCACGAATTGGTAGAAGTTAGCATTCATGTGCTGGCCATTGAGTCAGGTCCTAGTAGCTTAAAGATCTACGAGCTCTCCTTGTAACTGGAAGGTCCTCGATTAGAAACCCAGTGGATGCATACTGCCAATGAGTCCCAATCTAGGATGAAACAGGTGTTCAGTACTCTGTGGTTTTCAATGGTCCTTTAACTGATATCAGTCCGTTGTCATAATTCAAAAACAAATCAAACCACTACAAACCAACCCTTGCAAATTGATCTGATGCTCGTTAGTGACTGGCTACAGGATGGGATTTCCGGGAGTTCTAGGGAGAAGCCGTGACAACGGGGGCCATCCTGCCAGGCATTATTATTATTATATTATCATCGTATCCTTTAATTCCTAGAGGAACAAAGGGCTTCAGCCGTGCGTCTCCATTGAGTTCGGTTCTCTGCTAGAGTCTTCACCTGGCTCCAAGTCTGCCCACACGTTTTCATCTCCTCTTCACATAACCTCCTCCAAGTCACCCTTGCACTGACGACCAACTCGTCGATTCTCTTTCGAGTTCCACTAGAGCAATGGCTTGTCTAGTGATGTCACTTGATGGTTTCCTCAGAGTATGGCCAATCCATCACCATTTCCTTCTGCATATTTGTTTCACAATCGGTTCCTGGTTGGTTCGCTCCCAGAGATCCATGTTGCTGATCTTTTCTGGCCATCTGATCTTGAGTATTGAGCGAAGACAACTGTTAATGAAGGTCTGTAGTTTGTTTGAGATGCTCTTTATGACGCGCAGTGCAAGTCTCTGATCCGTATAGTGAGTAGTACTGACTTCACATTGGAGTTGAAAATCTGGATCTTATTTTTGATGCTGAGTGTTGTTGATCTCCACACAGACTTGAGAGTAGTGAAAGCTTGTCTTGCTTTTCCGATTCTTGTTTTGATATCCTCGTCAGTTCCGCCTGTAGTTGAAACGATGCTTCCCAGGTAGGTGGAGGAGGTTGTTTCTTTCAAGTTCCTCCCATTTATACTGGCTGATTGTTGTCTGTTGTTTTCGCTGTTACTGTTGACCAGGAATCTTCATCACCTCTGTTTTCTCTATGTTCACCTGAAGTCCTATTTTGATGCTTCTTCTGCCAACTTGTGAGGCACTATTGATATGAGTAAATCTTTCCTACAAATTTTTACCTCTTTTGTCTCTTTATTCTTCATTTGATAACATACTGTCATTATGAATTCTAAGATTATCAAACATATAACAGTTGTAATAATCAAGGCCAATTCTGCATATCACTGTCAGATATCAGATTGCTAAGAAGTTTTGTGGGAAGAAACCGCAGAGCAAAATAATAGAATGCTTCATGCCTAGATAAGACTAGCTAGTTTTTACTGAAGTTTTTAGTGCTCTTAAAACCAGAGATAATCAAACTACAGTCATTTAGGCTAAATGGCAATAACAACTTTATCAAATTACTTTCATTTTCCTTTCTCCTTTACTCGAAATATATTTTGCATATTGCATTAAAAATTAAAATCCCACTTTATTTTGTTTATTTGACATAGCACATAGTGATATAATGTTATTTATCAAATACCTGGTAAATAATACTGTGTAGTGCTGTTAGGTAGACCTTCTTAGTTATGAAATTTATGATAAACAATTTTATTTTGACTATTAGATGTAGAACTGGAATGCTATTGTGAGACAAGAATACTTTAATGACAGGTAATTTCGTCATCTTATTATTATCATCACTATTCATCCCTTGTGTTCCAAGTGAATATAAGGCTTCAGCTAAACGTCTGCTTTGTATTCTGTCCTCTCCTGTCAATTTTAGCCTGCTTTGAAGCTCTCGTTTCCTCCTCCCATTGTAGCTTTCATGTCACCATCCGGCGTTCAACCCGTCGCTTCACATTCTAGCTTACCTTGTGCCTAGCGTCATTCAACGGTCTCCTCGGTGTATATCAAATCTATTTCTCCATTTCATTCTGCATTTTTGTTGGGTTATATGTCCTGGTTTGATTCTTCGCCTCGTTTCGTTGTTATTTATCCATCCTACCTGACCATGTGATCCTGATTATCGGGACAGCGAAAGTAAGTGCAGATGAAAGTCCGTAGTGGCCTGTTGGAAATGCCTTCAATGACGCGTGTACCAAGTCTCTGAACCACACAGAAGTACTGATTTCACACTGGTGTTCAAAATTCAAACCGTGTTCCTTATACTGCGTTCTGTAGATCTACACACTGATTTCAGAGTAATGAACACCTGTCTTGCTTTCCCGATCCGGCTCAACCTGGTTTTAATATTTTCATCCATGTTGCTCAGGTCGGTTACGTGAAAAAGACGACTTCATTCGTCATATATGCCTTCTCAGTGTCTACATGAAGTCCTATATTTATCACTTCTTCCTGGTATCCCTTTGTAGATCTTCGAGTTTGTGAGACATGAGACACTAATCACTCGCGAAGTCCAGATCTTTTAGAGTCTTATTGTTCGTCCGACGTATGCCCATCTTCGATTATGTTCAACGAATGGTATCTAATGGTACTGCGCAACCTCCGTCTGATGCATTATGAGATTTGATGACTGACCTACAGAGTTTTCAGTGTAGAATTTTGTACCAGTTCAAGTCACCACACTTCCTATAACACATAAAGTTAAAGAAGAGATTCAGAAGAGCTGTACTGAACAGAAATGTACGATAGAAATAATAATTACATTGAGAGGCGTGGAGATTGAATGGATTCGGGACATTACTA